ACACAAACCCATGAGGGAGCAGAAATGTGTAATTGATGAGAGGTGGTAAAGCACTGCAGAACTTTCATTATTACCGCTCTTATGAGGCACTTTATGTGAGGAAGAGGAGGAGGAGGAAGGTACCACACATTGGTAGAAAAGAGACAAACCCACCCACGCATCACCACAATGTAGAAACACGGCAAAAAAATTATTGCACAGTAACGGGATTTCCTGCCGGGTCGATGGCGATGCATCTTGATCACGGCCTTGAAATTGGAAATGTATTCCCAAGGAGATCTGAGGCAGCAGCAGCATTTTATTAAAACACTGCGGAGGCAACGTTGGACCCAATTTCTGTGGATTCAGCAGTCCTGTTAGAGGCACTGAGGGATTTCCTGTTCTTTCTGAGGACGCCAAAGCACGCTGGCAGTCACTGCTCAAGGACTGAGGAGAATATATGAGGGTGGGAACAACTTTGGCAAGGTGAACGCATCCAAGCGGAGGCCAAATACCCAGAAAGTTGACCTTTTAATGAGGGAGGAAGATGGCCACTGTGTGCACATACTTACAAGAGGACAATGTGGGACACTTTGCAGGGAATTGGACAAGCTAGGAAGAGTTGTGGGTCCATATTAAGACGTATACAAAACATTGTAATGCACTGCTTAGCCTCCATAACATAGTCTTATTTCAGACTAGTGGAAAGAAAACTATGTTTGTCTGTTGGTTTTTACAGTATTGAATAAGTTACGAAGAGTTGTGGGTCCATATCAAGACGTATACAATACAGATGATGCTCACTGTATATGCAACAACGTATGCAAAAACTTACAAGGGCACAATATGGGAAGTATTTGACAGAATTAAAGAAGCTAGGAAGAGTTGTGGGTCCATATCAAGATGTATACAATACATGCAAAACATTATAATGCACTGGTTAGCTTGCATAACATAATCTACTTTCAGACTAGTAGAAAGAGAACATCCAAAATCCACATTTTGGAGCTGAATTTATTATCTTTGTCTGTTTGATTCTGCAGATTTCTACTAAATTCACCACAAGTTAGCATGACATAATGCCCCATCTGCATATTTAAACATAGCATTTTAGATAACTTGTAATACAAACACATTGCAATGCACTGCTTAGCCTCCATAACATAGTCTTCTCTTAGATTATTGGGGAGAAAACATCCAAAATCCACATTTAGGAGTTTATTTTAGTAACTTTGCCTGGCTGTGTGCGTAGATTTCGTTAGCCTCAAAGTTAGCATGACATAATGCCTCATTTGCATATTTAAACATGACATTATTAACACTTTTTTTGACAGCTTTTCTAAAAGGTGCTTCAGGATAATCGACTTTACCTGAGGTTGTGATTCCTCTCTATATTCTGAAGCTGTTCACAGAGGTTACACAGCACTCTCACGCTCCTTTATTACGAAAAACATGCAGAAAATGCAGTTTTTAAGGAAGTATTTTCTCATTTAAAGAGTAAACAAAGAGATCCCCTTTCTAAAAACCAAGTGTCAACAAAATAACACAATCATTTTGAACCTGGCTGTATTCAACGCTCACATTTCTGTTCTGAATGCATGCAAATTAGCACCTTTTTAATTAGATTATGCCTCATGTGCATACAGCATTTGAGAGAAGTTGTACTAATGACTGTCAAGACATCGTCCCCCCCCTCTTCAGGCAGAAGAAGGGGTTGCGTTTGGCAGAGAAAGCAGCGAGGAGGTGGCATTAGACCCGATTAGAGAAAAGCCAGGATTACCTCCCCTCTCTTCTGTAAGAACACCGAGAGTGACTTCTATTTCAGGAGCAACCTCTGCAGGGAAACATGCACATAATGCACAGCAAACAGTGCTTAAAGGGGTAATATTCATTTATACCTACATGCATTCATGTGAGACACATAGCTGCATGATTTTAAATTACATCAGGATTAGAAATGTGTTTTTATCCATGGGAAATTGTAAGAGTTTCTCCGTTTTAGAATGAAATAAATACAAATAAAAGGGTAACTTTTTAAATAAACATAGCGATTTTACTTTAATATATAACAACAATAAATATATCAGTAATATAAATTAATTTTAAGGCACATTTCAGACAAAAAAAGATTAAAAAAGTTCTTTACATAAGCATAACAAATACAAATAAAAAATATAAAAAGAAAAAGAAAATAATTTAAAAAATCGATGGGAAACAGTTGATTTATTATAATAAAATATATTAAATTATTATTTGCTACGTATTTTATGCTACGTAGTAAGTCGTGCACATGAAGTTGTTTACAGACTAATCTTATTGTATTTAATTAGTCATTTTAAAGCCATAAAGCGATTTCTTTCTGCCAAAATGGACGTTTCTTTAATGTAACACAAAGCCGAATCTCTTACCTTTCTATGGGGAATGTTCCTGGTGTCTTTGCAGCAGCTGCTCGGAGATGTACTTTCTGGATTTGGTCTCATTTAGTGTTTCAGCTTCGTGCAGACAGGCACGCGCAGCTTCCTATCCTACACACCAACTGCGGCAGGAGAGGCACAGCTCGCGCTCTTATCCACTGAAGCTGCAGTTTCGCGGATTTATCGCGAGAGGTCGTTGTAGCTTCAACGAGACTGCCAACAGGTAGAGATAATAGGCTTGTTTGAGATGAGCTCTACATCCATGGATGAGCTGCGTCTCGCCTCGAAAGGAGACGAGAATAGCCGATTGCAGCCGGGGAGGTCTCAAAAAGCTCCCCTGAAGTCGGACAGCTCGGAGTCGGCTTGACTCGGTTTGCAATGGCGGAAATTGCGTTGGCGTTCTTCGTTGCAGATGAAGTGGATACAATAGAAATCCCACAATTATTATATCACTACAAATGAATGACTCAAGTGTCTGTTAAAAAACCACCTGTATGTAAATTGTAAATAAGCCATCTGTATGTCAAATATGTCTTATATGTCTTAAATGATATGATGAATTGGAAATGGGGGACCCTGATGTAAACAAGACGAAAGTCTTTCTCTGGTCTGCATCCCCTTAACAATTGTATGTTTTGAGCTGTACTGTACTGTACCCAATATACAAGCTGTTAATAAACTTTTCAATCAATCAATCAATCAATCAATGTTCCCTTTAAAACAAATCAATACAAGGGGGGTTGAATCCTACAAGTAAAAGACAGAACCACTTATTAGTTTTCAAAACAACTTCCGTCAGTGGTCTTGACCAGTTTGCATTTATAAAGAATGCACAAATGTGTTTAATCGTTAATGTCAGATATGTACTAAGTCAGACGTGTCAAACTCAAGGCCCGCGGGCCAAATGTGGCCCGCCACGTCATTTTATGTGGCCCGCGAGAGCTCGCAAAGAATATAAACAGTTTATTATACGGTTACATGCCGTTTAAGCACGTTGCCCATAAACAGCATGTCCCAAAATGCATTTCGTTTTGTGACGTGCGCACTGAAGCGACTTCCTATCAGCAGCGGCACTCTGAGGCGGTGAGTGACCAGTGTGTGACTGTGAGTGACACAGAGTTGAAGGAACATAATTTACAGCGGCACAGAGACACCAAACACGGAGCAAAGTCTGCTTCAGCAACCGAGACAAGCAACTCCAGTCCCAGAACAAACAGACAGAATGACCCGCTCTTTAAGAATCAGTCGGTGTTGCTGCGGCTCAGAGACACACATGGATTTATTATGTTTTAGAAAAACTCGCGTTACGGTTATTTCCGGTTTCTGGTTGATTAAAATATATGAGGTCTTGGCTTGCAGAGTATGAACGTCTTTTTGCTATATTCAGACGATAAATACTTATAAATACTTGTGTAAAGTTTGTAAAGGAAGGAGGAAAACTTCCGCGATCCCTGTCCCCTCTCACTCTGTTCCTCCTCAACACGCCGCCGCCCCCCCCCCCCACTCACTGCTTACTGAAATAGTGAGTGACAGGTGATAGTAACACAGCAGGATCTGGGACAGGGGGTTCTCAAAGTCTTGGCTTTCAGACTATTAAAATATTATTGCTGAATTCAAATGAAATATAGCCTACTTAAATAATGCTTGATATACAAAAGAAAAATACTTTATTATTCACAAAAAATAGATTTCACAAACATTGTATCTCTTTTTGATAAGATATGATGAGGCTAACTAAATTTCATAAATTCATGGGATTTATGTAACAGTAAGAGAGTGAAATGTTAGTCTGAGCCCACATACAGTATTTTTGTGTCTACGTGCACAATACATTAATGCACAACCATGTGCTTTCAGACGTAGTTATTGCCAAAACCAATAATACTCCAATGCAGAGGCAATATTGTTATACAGTATAAAACATTATTTTGATATTTATATATGTATATTTATATAGTGTTAAAATTACAACCGGCCCTTTGAGGGCAACCATAATGCTGATGTGGCCCGCGATGAAATTGAGTTTGACACCCCTGTACTAAGTAAATACATTTGTTCCTGCTCAAGATTAGATTCAACTTTATTGTTATTGCACAGATTACAGGTACTGAGACAACGAAATGCAGTTTAGCTTCTAACCAGGAGTGCAACAAGCAGTAAAGTGAAAAGTTATGTACAGAATAAAATATAGAATGAATTGAATGATGAATAAACAGTGAGGGGTATGAATACACTATAGCAGCCTGTGAGCAGTATGAACAGTGTGTATGAATATGCTAAGATATATAAAGTATGAAAACGGTAAGCAGTGCAAGTATAGTATAACATATATAGATATTAATTTCATGATGATAAACATTGTGGAACAATGATGAAAAATGTGAATGGAAGTGGCGACGTAAAACTGACACAAAACAACAACAAACTTTTGCGAGCCAATGGAGAGTTTCATCACCAGCACGGGGTAAAAACCACCAATGAGCGCTCAGCTCGATATACCAGCGAGTATGAGGGGCCGTGGAGGCCAACATTCAAACTCACCTCGCACACACACTACTGTAATACTTGTTATTTTTTTATTTGTTATTTTTTTAATCTGTTCGAAATAAAGATTGAAATGAAAAAAAATGAAATGAAATACTTTCATACAAATCTATAAATGCCTTCAGGTTTCTAAAATATATAATGTAGCATTTCCCTCCGAATAATGGTCGTGTACTGGGCACAGCTGTCACAAACAAATGATGGTCCTGTTTGAATACACACTATTCAGAGTGCAGATCTTTCTGTTCACAATAAAAGAGTAGTTTCTTAGTGAATGTCTTGTATTGGTCTTTAATGTCATATCAGCTTTTCATTTTCTTCTGGCCCCTCGGAGAAAACGCTGAGGCAGTTGTGTCCTTCAGGTATGTCCTTTCCTAACAGAAATGACAAGAAACATCAAACATATGACATTATTGTAGAGCAAGTGTGTTATTTATGAAAGCGGTTTGTTTATTAAGCGGCTGTAGAAATTATATATTTTTTTATTTTAATGTGTTTTTTAAATTCATCACTTTGTACTACAAAGATAATCAGATTATGAATGAACAGTCTGCAGTTAATCAACATTAAAATATATATTATTATTAAATAATACTCAACTGTTATCAGAACTTAGTGTAAATGTAGTGTCATGCTGTTCGGTTGTCTCACCACAAGAACCACTTTTACCACGTCTTTTACAGACAATATGTAGAGACAAATGGTAGTAATTCTCACAATGTAAAATAATAATTGCCTTAAATACATTGAAATGTGAAAGCTGATTATAGTTGTTACTTTATCTATTTAAACCAGAATGTTTCTCGATTCTTTGTACAGTATGAAAGGAGTCTTTGAGTCCATGCTGAAGTTCACTGATGTTAGGAATAGGTCTGTCTCTCGTGGTCAGCATCCTCTGGTCTGTCTGCATCACCTGGAAACTTAAAACAAACAGATATATATATATGTAAAGTAACATGTCACAGACTTTTTTTACATGTAAACGTCATGTGATATTATTTTTGTTATCCTTAAAAAAAGTGCTGGATATCACAGCCCTTACTGTATCTCATCAGTTGGATTGTGTATTATTGTCTAGTTGGGGTCCTTTTTATTTTACTGTTATTTTGGAATCGTTTTTCACGAGACAGTCAATTTAAATATTTGTCCTTTGCCATATTCACATTCATTTGTAACACACACGTAAGGGTAAAAGACACACATCTTTAACAAATCTAATGCAATGAATAAGCTTAATTGTCACAGAAGCACACATAACGTCATATCTAATATTTAAATAAATAATTTCCTTGTCCCTAAAGCATTGACTACGCTATTTTTCGTCCTTAAATGCAGGCATTAAGTTACATGTTCACGTTCTGCTGCCACAATAAGTCGGTTTCTCCAGGGTAATCATAATGCTTAGTAAGTATTGGTAATAATATTAATAAAAACAACAACGTTTGGGTTCGTTCGTTTAATATGATGAACGTTAACCAGTAAGCTTCAATAATCAACTCCAGCTCAACAAACCATATTGCAATCTCTACGTTAACGTTATTTCTGGAACCAACTGGAAATGTGAGATTCATATTTTTAAGATACACAGATCTTATAGTGAGGTTATAGGTTAACAATAACAATGCATACAGTTACCTAACTAGCAAACTAACTAATGTACAAGCATGACCTTATTTTACCAACCTCACCGAGAAGCCTTTTGTTCTATATAATCCTTCTTAAAGGTGGGGTAGGTACATTTGAGAAACCGGCTCGAGATACACTTTTTGTTATATTCCATGGAATACTCTTAACATCCCGATAGCAATGAATATCTTAAATGCTTTGACAAAAAATCCATAAAAAAATGTAATCTGTGGAAGCTGTAGTACTGTAAATGTCACGATCTGTCTGTGTTGTGTTTTGTCTTGTCTTTTTCAGTCTTTGGTTTCCTGTTTTGTTTTGAAAAGTGTTCACCCCCCGTCTTGCCTGTTGCTTCCTGTCTCTGTGTTCCCTCCTGCCTGATTGCCCGATTGTGTTCACCTGGTGCCCCTGTGTTTTCTCCTCCCTCCTCACCTGTGTCTTGTTTGTGTGATTGGTCTTGTGTGTATTTTAGTTTTGGTTTTTCTGTCTGTCATTGTTGGGTCCTTGTTTGTATTTGACTGTGTGTCACAGGGTAGTGTTCTATTGTCTACTTTGTACCTTGGATTAAAGGATTATTCTTGGAAATCTGCATTTGGGTCCTGCCTGCTTCACTCAACCCTGACAGAAGGAACCAACCAGAAATGGGCCCAGCAGATCCATTTGAGGTGGATTTACAAAATGTTACCTTTTCTTTGGCTTGCTGCTATGGTAGGTGGAGGGGAGCGTCCAGTGTTCAGCAGAAAGAGGCTGCTCTGGCAGAGGCTCACCAGGTGGCAACAGTGGATCAATCTTTAGTTAAGTTCTTACCTGACTGGATTTTGTATTTCCTTTCGACGTGTGATTCCCGGCCTGCTAGCCCCAGGCATGCTAGCCCCCTGCCTCCCAACTCCCAACCTGACACCATACATCTCGGTGTGTTCCGTCTGGAGTCAACCCCTGC